CGTATCGATAATTACAGACTCGTTATTATTAATATCTGAAATAACAACTCATGTATATTATGATTTATATTTCAGTAAGAAAGATATGACATGTCAGCTTGCGGTGCCTAGTATTTGTAACTAAGTTAAATAATTTATATGTGTCAATAAAATTAAATAGGTTAAACGGCCAAGCAAATAAAGTATATAAATAAATGTTGAGACCAAAGTTCGATGTTTGATAATCAGTCTCGTCACCTCGAACTCTTGATCTTACTGTCTGTCACGATAATCAGTTCAAGTACTTTCAGGGTTGGTACAAAACTAAACTGCTGCAAAAGTGTATGGAACTATGGCCCAGTTAGCTATAAGCAGTGACTATTGTCGTGCTAATGACAGTATATGCTTGCTCTCTCAGGAAACATTCGTCGAACTTACCATTTTTATATCCTGTCGGGGCATTATACCAATACACTATATCACATACTTATGAAAAAGCAATAACTAATTTATTTGGGTGACGTTTCGAAGAGCGCCCCCTCATGGTTTTCAAAATAATGTATAGACCAATCAACCTGTATAAAAAAAACAAAGGTGAGCCCCTAAAAAATTACAAGAAAGTTTTTTTTTAATGGTTTCTGGTAGTTTTGGCTGTCGATTGACATCCTAAAAGGTTACCAAAATTGGGCACCGGAAAGTCCCGAATTTAAAGGGTAAATGACAGTTTTTCTTAATAGATCAGTCAATTTATAAAAAAAGAGATTTCCGATAGAGTTAAGTGTACTGAATGACGGCCCAAAAGTTTACTAAACTGGTAGCTCCTTTAGAAACTGTCTCTGATCGGACGGTGTCCGCTGACTGTTCCTATCGGTTCCTATCACTGCAATATGAAAATACCGCTCATCTGCACCGCTGGTTTAAGGCTATTTTGGAATCCTTACCGACTATTTTTCACCCTGATTATTTTTTGTTTGCCAAAGGAACCATTTCTTGCCCCATTTATAATAATTCAAGTATACTTATACATCCGTATAGAACCTATAGGACAGGTCAAAATTAAAAATATGTGGCTGCTGCTTAATATGATGAATTAAGAGTTAGGGAACAGTCCCTAGTCGTTCGGGTGAACCGAAAAACCGAGGTGTCGTGTACAAGTTGGTGTGCGCGTCAAAATAACCTTGACAGGTGGAAAAAGAAGTCAGATAGGTGTCAATACAAAATTTTCCCCATGCACACTGTATGGCGCATGCCTGTCTTTATTAGCCATACTGAGTAGTGCCTACATTTCCTGGCAGACTATTGATCATGCCATCGTAAGCTTGTAAATTAAAATTGATATGTGTTGCTGGGTTACTGTCGAAATTCAAAGTAACGATTATACATTTTGTACATGTCACTAAACCTTGTAAACGCTCTAGAGGCCAGTGTGTTTTTTATACATTTATTTTACTACGATTAATTAGCTCGTCAGTAGGGAAGTTCACTTTTCACATTTTATCGTCCATGTCACCGACAACATGTGAACTCTATGTCCCAGTTAGGGTTGTCGTGACCCCAAGATAACTCTATAGTACAAATATAAATTATGCATTTGAGTTGTAACCGATTTACAAAAGTTCATAAATGATTATACTGAAAATACTGTCATTTCGAAAGACTGGCAATTGGGCGATCATTTGCCACACAATCCGTATTTTCCCTGCGTGAGGGTGGGTTGTGTGACTGAGTGGTCTGCCATTGAGTCCATGATTTTCTCCAGGTCCAGGTCCAGGTCCGTATAGAAGGAAACGATGTTGTCCGGGCAAATTTTCCCTCACTCACCACATGGTGTATGCCCATCTTCATTAGTCCAGTTAATGCAGATAAGGGGGGGGGGGCGTTAAAGCCAATTTCATTTGCTTTTCGTACTCGATTGTTAGTGTACAGACTTGTTGGTGGGCTCGTCTAGGATTTCAATCACCAACGTAAAATTTTGGTCTATCAAATGAAAGCGATTGCGTTATGTGGATTTTTTGACATTTTGCCTACTTATTAGTCACTTCTTTTCCTTTAATTGCTACGCGAATCCGCAACCTTATACTTAACTGGCATTCAGGAATAGATAATGGGTGTGTTGTTCGGATTCAGAGAAAGTCACGTCATTGATAAAAGTATAGACAATATACGTACAATTTTGGTCTATCAAATGGATGCGAGTGCGTTATAATGTGAAAGGTTTTGACATTGTGCCTATTTATTAGTCACTTCTTTCCATTTAAAACTTGCTACGCGAATCCGAAACCTTAATTGACATATCAAGAATAGATAATGGGTGTGTAAGTTCGGATACAGAGAAAGTCGCGTCATTGATAAAAGTATAGACTATTAAAGGGACCATTCCGATTTTAACAGAGTCTCGGAAATAAAAGTCCGTGAACGTATGAAATTTAAACGCCAAAATATAGAGAAGTGGTGTATTTACCTTGTCCCAAAATTTCAGTGCAAAATATTGAGTCTTTGGACTTGAACTTCAAAGCCGCTTATCCGGACACATAACCCTTTCGTTGGGTGAACTGATAATCTATTGCCGTTCCTTTAGAGGTCTATACAGTACATGACCCACATGCTGTACTTGTAACCGAAAGGAAAATTTCATCTACACGTTATTTTCAGAAAATAAAAGTCTGGTTTCATCCAGAGTATAATACAGCTTGGGGCACCGGTCTCCATTTCCAGATAATGACTGATGGGTTTAAGTTGTTTAAAAACGTATCACGTATATTGAGTTAGTTGCTCTGCATAAGGTAGGGGATTTAATGGCTTTTAATACAAAATTAAACAGTTTTATTCTCCAAAATATAATTGAGATTGGCTCTTTTAGTTAAAGTGCCAATCCCTGGGATTGTAACTTCCTTGATCGTTCAAGTTTATACTAGGAGACTGAATAAGCTATCAAAAGCAAAAAAAAATAATAATAAACACAACCCGAAAAAATACACTAAAAAGCAACATAGGATCCCGTGACGTCACCAATTCAAATGGCGTTCCCTCGCAACATCAAAGAGTCACAATTACAGACTAGATTTTCTGCCAGATCTGTTTATCGTCCGAATCTTTGTGGGTGGGGTGTCTGGCCTATGAAGGAATTTTGTCCGGACGGCGGCACTACAGACCATTTTTTTTTCGAATTTCAACTGTCAGGGATTCTTTTACGAGTACGCCAATGTGTATGCGAGATCTCTTTTTTTTCCAGTTAGCGAATCCGAGACCTCCCGGTTACCGAACCAGCGTCTTACTCACTGAGACACTGCGGCTTTCATGATGTAGCATATTGCTTCATGTCTGTGTGTTTATTTAGTATCCTGGTCCTTGTGTACCTGAATGTCTTCCTCAACTTTCATCCAATTGAACTGAAGTTTTTATGAGATACTTGACATGAATATATATATATATATATATATATATATATATATATATATATATATATATATATATATATATTACACATGTAAGTTTTTTGAATATGACATGCAGGATATTATTATGCTTATCTATATAATATACATATCTCTCCTTGTATATATTGAACGAAATGGAATTTACTTGCGTGTAACGTAGATAGTCACGAAAGAATGTAAAAATAGAATCGGGCATTAATTGATTATCCATCCTCGGTTAGTGAAAACAAGAACCCCGGGTATGAGACCATGCCAACCTTCCATTTCGGCAGTCATACCTCTCAACAGCCGCAAAAAAAACAAGACGAACGGCGACCTTAAATCTCACATTTCGAAACTACTCCTTGTCACGTACAAGCGGAAATCGAAACCACACCACTCGACTCAATGACAGACATTGTGATCCAACCCGCATGCGTTAACCATTCTACCACCCAACTGTGACTTGCTAACCTGCGTTGGCCGAGAAAATTCAAGGGTGGTTCCTCCTTGCCAGTGTGCAAGACGGAGAGGGGGGAGGCGGTGACAATGGACAATGTATAGTCGTTCCTATGAGACAAAAAAAACAAACCCAGGTCCTACGTACACATTGACGTGCGCGTAAAAGAACCCTTGGCAGCTGGAATTCGATATAAAAGTTCACATTTTGATGTGAACATTCAACAGGTCACAATTTTTATCCGGCTGTGACAAAACTTGAAATATGGGTTTATATACCACAGTTCTCGGTTCCTTTTCTTGATATTGACATGTATCGGGTCGTAAATTCGTGGATTATGGCCTCATATGGTATGAAAGATCACAATTTTAACTTGTACTTGTAGAGACTCTAGAGGTCACATTTTTTATCCGATTTAGATGAAACTTGAAATGTATGTTTATAACCTAATGATCTCGGGTCCTTTGAATATGCGCAACTTCCTGAAGCATTGCCCCTGATTGTACGAAAGATCGACATAATTCACCAGGTTCAAATATTTCACCATTACATCCTGATGGTGGTTGAGTTCGGATTTCGTGAAAATCGGGCCGAAACTTCCCGACAAAATGGCCGCTCCTCATACGCAAATTCTGTAAAAGTATATATCAAGGTTGATCGGCCCTCTTAAGACATGGGGTAGCCACGGTAGCTTGCTAACCTGGCGGTCCCGTGTTCGATCCCTGCGTTGGCCGAGAAAGTTCATCGGGATTTTCCTGCGTGGTTCACTTTGTACTTGGTGCAGGACGGAGGGCCTGGCAAGGGACGTATATAGTCGTTCGGGTGGGACGTTAATGATCCCTTGGTAATTGGCATTCGAAGAGTAGACTGTATTGCCGCTGTCCGGGTAAAATTTACCTCATAGCACATACGGTCCATATTATAAGGTCCATGGTTTTGCTATTTGTGCTAGGGTTTCCTTTCTACCAGATGTACGGGGACATCAGATATTTGAAAAGATAAATAATGAAGAATTTGTGTAGTCTAAGAATTAAATACATTTTATTTTCTCAACAAAGAATTAATGACCTTTCATTTATTTGCACCACTGGAAAGTAAAACGACTTTCATTTGTGGTCTGATCCGAAGGTAGTTACCTGAAAGTTATCTCCCCTCGTGTAATATTCAATGTAAAGTTGCAAATGGTGTAGCGTGTAGTTTACGATTTGCGCCATTGTTATTGCCGGTTGACAATAAATTTGTTTTGTATCCTTGCCATCATGAAATTAGTACGGTATGAATATCATTTCTTTTAAAGATTTAAATATTGAAACATATCATCGTTACTTTTATGCCATATTTCTTTTATTGATTTCCTATTATATGTCTCATTTGCGTTTTAATAGAGACTAGAGTCTTTAACTCGAAACCGATTTCATCTTTTTAATATCTTGTACCAACCAAATTTGTTTTTCAATGAATTAATATGAATCTTGGTTGAATAACAGTTTGGTTAGTCCTCATAGTTATTAAATTCACGGTCATTCAGATAACAAATAAAGACCCCCTTTTTGCAGGAAAAGTGGTTAGCAATTCAATGAATTCAATGAACCAGGTTAGGCTTAAATTTGTCGATTGTTTGCTTTTTCTTCTTGCTCCCATCACACAAATCCTAAAATATGCATTTCAAGCTGGGGGGGGGGGGGGAGATATATGGAGAAATAAAAAGAAGGATGTGGAGAGAGGGTTTCAACTTCACTTGACACAGGCTAGGTCATTTTGGGACTAACATACACCACCGTTTTAATTCAATAATTTGCTTCAATGCTTGTCAGTTGATAGTCCAGCTCTGAACGTAGGTCTCATTACACTCACCTCTACATCCAGGGAAGCTAGCATTGAATCAATGTCGAACGTAAACGACCGCCCCAGTCAATTTTACTGGGCAACTTTTTACTGCGAATAAATATTCTTGCCGCATTGGACCCATACCCAAAAAGTTTGAGGATCGTAAAAAGCACTTGTGGTTTGCGTGATATTGTTTATATTGGGTTTACAGCAGGATGGGTTTGGTCAGAAATCACTCGGACTCTTCAACATGCAAGGTTATGATTGAGTGGAAATGTGTGATTTAATCACCGTAGAATGTATTAATTACCGAAACAGATTGCTAAAAAAAAATTTAAATTATTGGGGACGTGCCGTGCCGCCACTGGTTGCTGTTTGTAAATACGTCTATTTAATCTTTGTGGTCTTAAAACAAAGGGTTAGCGAAAAAATTCTGAGATAACATTTTTTTTAGTAATAGTATAAGCCTTTTACATGTATAGAGGAAAATAAAGGACTAGGGAAAGTCACACTTTACATAGATCATTATCACTTGTGGCACAGGTTGCCCACACTTGATCTAGGACACCATTTAGTTATCACCTCTTTGAAGGTGTTATTATTATAGTTATAAGTTATTATAACTTAAAGATAAATTATGGGAAATTCGATACGAGTTAAGTTCTCACTATAATAGTTAAAAACTAGATAATCTAAAGGCAATTTGCTGAAATTTCATTCAAATTGATCCACTATGAACCGAGAACTCAGCGAATGAAATTTCCGCCTAGCCTTAATCATCATTACTAAAGTCAGTATGATAAACAGCATAGTCTTGATTATCCATTTAATCGTTAAATCGTGCAGGAAAGTTAAGCAGTATATTGTCTCATAATCGACTAAAGATCAGAGGCTAGCGATGCCATCTAGAGTTCATTATGGTCTGGATAGGTTAATTAATGTCTAATTAATAATTTAGCTAACATTTCAGGCCTAAAGAAAGACCTACAATAGACAGATTTAGCTCTTGCATAATGTATGTTTAATATTCTTATCTTTATTAGGTTTTTGATGAAATTGAGTCATGAAACGGTCACGATAGAATTAAAAAATGGAACGCAAGTCCATGGAACAGTTACAGGTATATGTTTAACATTTTGTTTTAATTTTTACACATCCAAGTAGTTGTATATTTCAGGCCTTTATAAAACGGTTTTACATGTATCTCAACAGGACAATATAGAGCACTATTGAACTAGTACATATGTGACAATTTGAACTTTGTAACCGACCTAAGAATCTAAAGATTTTTTTTCAGTGTTTTTCCCTCATTGGCTGTGGTGCAGGACGGAGGGCCTTGAACAGCATCATCTAGTCATTCAGTTGGCCCTATGTAAATGAAAAGAACATTTGACAGTTGGAAAAAAATTGCTGTACGATACGGGAAAAATTTCCCTCATGACTCGTAGCACACTGTATGGCATACGCCTGTATCCATTAGCCCGATTTTGCGATTTGTGCAGAAAAGTTGGAGGTTAAACCCTATTTCTTTAATTGCTGAGGGACCATATTTGATTGTGATTCCATTAGGTCATAAGATTATGCTTTTATTGTCATTAGCTTAGTTGGTGCAGAAAAATAAGACCTGACAAGGACAGTTGTCAAGTCATTCGCATGGGACAGAAAACCAAGGTTCCGTGTACACATTGGCGTGCACGTAAAAGATCCCTTGACAGTTGGAATTCAATATAAGAGTAGGCCGTAGTGCCGCTTTCTGTGCAAAATTTCCCTCATAGCACACTGTGTGGCATATGCCCATCTTCATTAGCCCAGTCAGAACAGAACAGTCGGACATTAAAACCCATTTCATTTACTTTGTTGAACCTTGTGAACGTTCGAACCACAAAAGTTATCCGATCTGTATGAAATTTCTATGTATTACCGCTATTTAAATTTATAGAACATAAAAGTTATTAAAAGCCTGTCAAATTTCAACAATTCCTGTAAATTACTTCCTAGAGTTGAGGCCCTTGTTTCAGTTTGTAGAACCCTCAAATGACAAAACTTATAATCTCATCTACATAAAATTGTCTTATAAATGCAACCAATTCACATACAAAAAAATAAGTATGCCACAACCCTTATCGACTGCTCAGACGATTTATCTTTTGTTTTGTAATTTATTTTTAGGTGTAGATGTTTGTATGAATACGCATTTAAAAGCTGTGAAAATGACTGTTAAAAATAAAGATCCAGTTCAAATAGACACTTTAAGTATTCGTGGAAATAATATCCGGTATTTTATACTACCAGACAGTTTACCATTAGATACATTATTAATAGATGATGCTCCTAAAGCTAGACAAAGAAAACGTGAAGGAGGTAACTGAATTTGAATTATCTTGCTTATGTGCAACAACTATTTAGTTGCTTTAGATTTCCAACTTTCAATTTTAAGATTTTGAACTACTGTCTCGTTCAAATCTACGTGTATTACTAGTATTTTAAACATACATTATGCAAGAGCTAAATCTGCCTAATGCAAGTCTTTATTTAGGCTTCAGATGTTATAGAAATTATTAATTAGACGGTTGTTTACACAAGCTCAAAATCAACTCTGTAGACCAGTGGTTCTCAGTGTGCCGCGAAAGTTTGCACGGCACAGTAAGAAAATGCGAAAAACCATGTTATCCTAATTGAGCATTCCCTAGAGTTCATGGCTGTGTTTTTTTATATTTAGTTTGAGTCATTCTATGTGTCTATGACTAGTCTGTATCTACGGTTGTATGCCGTCTGACATAACATTTTATTTTGCAAAATTCAAACTGTTTTCATATATATATTTAGCCAGGTGTTCAGCTATTTTTTTTATGTGTCCCAAAGTGTGCCGTTGGCAAAAAAAGGTTGAGAACCACTGCTGTAGACCCACTGATGGCTTGGATACAGTTTGGATTTAAACAGTCGTCCATTTAAAATTAAATCAATAAATGGTGGACCAAGCTAACGTTTACCATTAGTCGCTGATGTCACTACCGGAAATTGGTCATGAAAGGCCTGTCAAGCGAGGCTACCATAGCCATTGAGCACATTACTTGATAATCGAGAATATGTGGGTGGAGTTATCGTCTGTCAATCAAACGATCGCCAATTCTTATAGACGATGCAGACACAATTGATGCCTATTTCTAGTCCAAACTTCCAACAGTGTCAATTCAACATTTTCTTTTTTTTATCATCTATTTATAATTATTGTATTGATATTAATAAATAATGCATGTCGCTACTTATTACATGTACTTGGAGTTGCTGGTCACCTTTCTCAGAGTAGCAAACTCAATCATCTACAAGTTACACGCTGTTAAATAGTATGAAATTAAGATTATTTATAATTGAATTTTCAGGTGCTTTAGGAAGAGGACGTGGTGGTCCAAGAGGTGGACGTGGTGCAAGGGGAGGACGAGGTGGTAGAGGAGGAAGAGGGCGTGGTAGAAGATAAATCATATATCAAACTATGCATCTGTACATATGCACCCATCATTTAGATCACATCACATTAAAATCATTTTTACATTGTCATTCGTTGTACTACAGTAACTGAAGAATAGGTACTGTAAATATTTCAGAAATATGAAAGAACAGATTATATATAACTTTTTAAATGATTATGTATGAATGAACATTACTTCATCCTATACATCATATTTTCTTGAGAAAGAGTACTAGAAGATAAATGAATGTTTAGGTCAAATAATTAAAATTGATGCTTTTGGTGGAAAAAATGGTCTAAAAACTGTTATATCCATGTATATGTTGTACCTAAGTCAAATGATCTAAAAATGAATTTACTGGCACAGATTGTTTTGAAGTAGGCTAATCTATTCAGCCACCGTACATAACTACATATGCCATAAGCCATTTTCACTCTTGTCCAATAGAAGTAGGTACTTGCAAATGTGATTGCTGTAGCACATCTGGAACTCGAATAAATCTACCGCTAGTTTGCAACCTCCAGTGTGTACACCAAAGTTAGATAGACCAATCAATACATGGCATTTTGTCATTGACAGTAGTAAATTATCAAGAATATATTGTTTTGATTTTTGATATACCAATCGAAAAAAAAGAAATTGAGATAAATCGTATAGAAATTTGAAGGAAAGAAAAGATTCTTAAAAAAAAACTTGAATGTGAAACTTAGTCCCAATAGGCTTTTCGTTCCCAATAAGCTTTTCGCTCGGTTACGTATACGTACTATAAATTAACTCTTAAGGAAATGTATGTAGGGAACAAAGTAAAAACATTTGTGTCTTGTAAATATTAACATTTTTAGTAAATGTCAATTAACATGCATGAATCATGCCTTAATGACAAAGTTGATGAAACCTTGTAAATAAATCATTGAAACACATTATCTGGACTTTTAAACACTTGTGGTGGCTTCCATAGTTCTATTAAGATGTGGATTTTATTAAAAATATGACCAGGGTCTGTTATTGAAATTAAATGTTGATGCCAATTATTTTCAGAGAAGATGTTTTGAGTGTCGCAATGGTGGCTTAATTCATAAAAGGGTACAAAATTACATGTACACATTCCAAAACATTTTAGTTCTGGGATAAGGCTATTTTGATATATACATATATATACATATTTATATATTGTCCATGTACATAGTTCAGTTTCTTGTGAACTCTTCGGGCAACATTTATTATCCAGTTTATGAAAATCCTATTAAATTTTAACAATTTCCGTTAATTACTTCGAGAGTTATTGCCTTTGTTTCACTTTGTAGAACACTGTAAACATTCTAACTAAAAATGTTACGGTCTAAATCTGCAATTAAATTTATATGGATTATTTAAACAAAGAACCCTATTAAATTTAAGCAATGATACACCTACAGATTTTGTCTTTTGGGCTGCTTGGACAACATAATAGCTGCTGTGGGCATATATACCCTAAACTATTTCACATTTTCACTCAAAATTACTCACCGCTTAAATATTAACATACAGGGGTGGATTGGTTCCCGGCCCAGCCTCCTTTTACTGACCGTAGAGCCCGGATGAGGGGGCTCTCCCCCGTGGAAAATCTTGAAAAATGAACCCCAAATATGCGATTATAATCTCTGTCAAGTAATATATCTCATAAATCGATTGAGGCCAAAACCCCGACCTGCAAGTAAATTACCACCATCAACCTGGGAAATTATCATATCGTCATGTCATGTTACATGTCATATTATTAACGTATTATTGTATCATCAAGAGAATTTAACTGGTTAAAAAATGGCACTAGTTGACATCCCAATTCTGTAATTTCATCTCTGAAAATAATGAGTTAATAAAAATGTCAAGGGATGTTTAACACCAGCATCAGGAAATCGTCTCGCATTCGTATTCAGCAAGCAGACCAGCTATCATCAAATTTTGCTGAGGCCTTAAAATCGATTTTTTTTTTTGAGTTGCGAACCATCGGCAGACGTTTCTGGCGTATCCCCACAAACAGGGTGCAGGTGACTTAATAATTAGTAAATTTGCGGGTGAATCCAATGTAATTTCCGGATGAAATTCGGAATCTCCATTGCAGGATTCCGAATTCCGGCCCACACCCAGCACACTCGGCCCAGAAAGTCTATTATAACAGCCCCTTCCAGACTCCAGTGATGGTGTGGTGGCCCGTTAAAGCCACCGGCCACATACATGATCATCATCGGCCCAATACACCCCCCATATAATGTTAAGCAAGAAAAGGTTTTTAGACGAATTGGCCCAATCTGCCCCTGTTAACATATTATATGTTTTGAAAGAATGTCTATTAATGTTTTGCCCGACTGAGAAGTCACACCACACTCATCTCAGTTAAAATAAACAAATGGCCAAATTACTTGATTTCTGCCTGAATTGTACCCTTAAGTTCGTTTTCTGTAAATGGGTTTGTATGTCATTATAAACCTATTCGGATAAACTTCCAGATAGCTTAACCCATCATATTCAGGTCAGAGGGTTGCAGCTGTCACTAATCTGTTTTTATGAAGTCTGGGGTGACCTCAATGGATTTTACCTGATTGCTGCAAACTCTTATCTGAACAACTACTATATGTGTTCCAGCAGGACGGGGCTGCAAACCACACAAGCAGGCTGACTCAGTATTATCCTCAGGAGGAAAAAAAACATGATTTGAAAGTATTCTTGTTGATAATATTGTAGATAGTAAAACATTAATTTCTAGAACTGTACATCTCTAAAAACAAATGTGTTGGGTACAGATGGTCAGCTGTATTGCTTTTTGTCAGGATAAGGGGGTGTACTGTGTGTGGTGGGGCGCGCAATGCCAAGAATTGGCAGAAAATTTGAAAGTGAAGATTTGTAGGTTATTTTCTAGCTCTTAAGTTGATAGGTTGCCCTTGGAAAACTGTTTTGCTTATGGGGAACAAAAGCGTGGTGTTCGAAATTGGTCTTTACAAAATGGCGTTAAGCTCTATGTGGACTTATATGCAGTCGCCCTGTGTGAGTGTGTATGTTTTTGTGTGGCCCACAGGGTGCAATTCTTAATGGATTGTCTTGAAACTTTGTAAACTTTGGCATTGAAATGCATGTTTATAACCCAAAGATCTTGGTTTATTTCGATATTTGCGCATATCGAATTGTAACTTCATGAATTATGGCCCTTGATTGTAGGAAAAATCACTTTCTTTTTAGCTTGTTCTCTATCCATCTCTCAAAAAATGTGGGCGTATCCTGCCTGGCAGCCGCTGGTTGGTGTATGCCGGATCCACAGGGCTGAATCAAGCCCATTTTTATACGCCCACAATTTGTGGACACTCTACAGGTCAATTTTTATATAGGTCAATATTCCAAAGATGTCGGATTCCTTTCGATATTGGCATATGGAGTCTCCCCTTTTGCATGCCCATTTGTGTTGATTTTCTGGTCTAGAATGGACGAAGAGGGTTTGAATTAACATTTTCTGCCAGGTTTTGGTAAATATTCATGATTTTGAGGCGGAAGGATAAGAGGGTTATCAGGTTAGCTACGGCGATATGTACGGCAACTAGTTACATGTTTTTAGTATGCTTCTTCAAGTTTGTGTATTTGGTGGTCAACCTCATACAAATTTTAGTGCAAAGACATGACCATTTGTTCCTCTGTCTGTAGTGAAAAGCATTCAGCCCAACGAAAAGTTGGAGGTGGGCAAAGAGGCCAGAATTAACATTGAAGTCAATGGGGAAATTAATGGTGGTCTGCCTCCTATATATCGGAACATAACTTTACGGATTATAGCCCCTGAATGTACGAAAAATCACGTTTTTAGCTTGTGTGGACACTCTGGGGGGTCATGGTGGCTACATGTAAGTGGGAAAGATGCTGGCTCGCTAGCCTGGAGGTCGGGTGTTCGATCCCTGCATTGGCCGAGAAAATTCCCCGTTGTCAGTGATGCAGGACAGAGGGCCTGACAAGGACAGCTGTCTAGTCGTGCGGATGTGACGAAAAACCGAGATCCTGTGTACACATTTGCGTGCAAGTAAAAGATCCCTTGACAGTTGGAATTCGATATAAGAGTAGGCCGTGGCGCCGCTGTCCGGGCAAAATTTCCCTCATAGCACACTGTATGGCGCATGCCCGTCTTCAGTAGCCCAGTTCGGAGCAGAACAGTAGGACGTTAAATCTCATTTCATTACATTTCTGTGGACGCGCTAGAGGTCACAATTTTCATTCGATTTTGATGAAACTTGAAATGCATGTTTATAAGGCAAAGATCTTAGTTCCTTTCGATATTCACGCATATCGGATCGTAACTTCCTGAATTATGGCCCCTGATTGTACGAAAAATCACGGTTTTAGCTTGAAGTCCCACTAGAGGTCAAATTTTTTATCCGATTTAAAAAAAAACGTTTTAGTATAGGCCTATCACCATTACACCCTAATGATGGTTGAGTTTGAATTTCGTGAAAATCCGGCCAAAACTGTCGGACAAAATGGCCGCCCCTTGTACGCAAATAGTGTAAACATCTGGTATATCAAGGTTGTGGACCTCCTAGAGGTCACAATTTTGATCTGATTTTTATGGAACTTGAAATGCATATTTATAACCCAAAGATCTTGGTTGCTGTCGATATTCGCGCATATCGAATCGTAACTTCCTGAATTATGGCCCTTGATTGTACGAAAAATGGCGTTTGAGCTTGGGGTCCCTATACAGGTCACAATTTATATCTGGTTTAAAAAAACGTGTGAATATATCAGTTATACACTAATGATGGTTGAGTTCGAATTTCGTGAAAATCGGACTAAAACTGACGGACATAATGGCTGCCCCTTGTACGCAAATAGTGTTTAAAATACAGTATATGAAGGTTGTGGATACTCTAGAGGCCACAATTTTTTTTATCTAATTTGGATATATGTTTTTATCGTAAAGATATTGGTTCCTTTTGATAATCACACATATCCGAACGTAAATTCCTGGATTATGGCCCCTGATTGGTCAAAAAGCGCATTTTTATACGCCCACATGGAAATGTAGACGTATATTGCCGTCGTCCCTGTCCGTCCGACCGTGTGTCGGTCCGTCCGTCTTCCACAATTTCTTGTGAACGCTCTAACTCCAAAAGTTATTATCCGATTGTTATAAAATTGATATATATGTGGTTTACATTAGTGAGATGAAGAATCCTATTTATTTCAAAAATTTCTGTTCATTACGGCTAAAATTACGGCCCTTGTTTCACTCTGTTGAACCTAGTGAACGCTATTACGCCAAAAGTTATCATCCGATCTTTGTGAAATTTATATGCATTATTTAAATTAGTGAAACGAAGAAGCCTATTAAATTTCAGCAATTTCCGTTTATTACGTCTATAGTTATGGCCCTTGTTTCACTTTATTGAACCCTGTGAACGCTCTAACGCTAAAAGTTATCATCCGATCTTTCTGAAATTTATATGCATTAAATTAGTGAAACGAAGAATCCTATTGAATTTCAGCAATTTCCGTTTACTACGTCTAGAGTTATGGCCCTTGTTTCACTTTATTGAACCCTGTGAACGCTCTAACGCTAAAAGTTATCATCCGATCTTTCTGAAATTTATATGCATTAAATTAGTGAAACGAAGAATCCTATTGAATTTCAGCAATTTCCGTTTACTACGTCTAGTGTTATGGCCCTTGTTTCACTTTATTAAACCTTGTGAACGCTCTAACGTCAAAAGTTATCATCCGATCTTTGTGAAATTTATATGCATTATTTAAATTAGGGAAACGAAAAAGCCTGTTGAATTTCAGCATTTCCGTTTACTACGTCTAGAGTTATGGCCCTTGTTTCACTTTATTGAACCATGTGAACGCTCTAAACCCGAAAGTTATCATCCGATCTTTGTGAAATTTATATGCATTATTTATATTAGTGAAACCACGAAGCCTATTGAATTTCAGCAATTTACAATAATTACTTCTAAAGTTATAGCCCTTGTTTCACTTTGTTCAACCTTGTTAATGCACGATCATATGCATCATTTAA